TTACTTCATACACTGCTTGTTCCATCCATTAAATGCAATTTGTTGTCTGTTGGGAAATTACTTGACTCACATAATTGTTATGCCACATTATATCCTTCCCATTGTGTTTTTCAGGACCTCATGACTCACGCGACGATTGAGCATGGTAAACGAAAAGGGGGGGTTGTATTCCTTGATGGTCTCTTCATCACCCACAACAGCTTATACTGATGGTCCCAACTCACAAGCTCACAATCAACACCAAATTTGGCTCTGGCATCGTCGACTAGGGCATCCATCCTTTGGCTATCTTCAACGTTTGTTTCCATCTTTGTTCCATGGTTTAGTTAATCCTCAGTTTCGGTGTGAAACTTGTGTATTAGCCAAAAGCCATCGAACTGTTTTTCCCTTAAGTGAGAATAAAACAGAATTTCCTTTTGACTTAGTTCACTCTGATGTTTGGGGTCCTGCTAAAGTCTCCTCCAATGGCAAGAGGTGGTTTGTTACATTTATAGATGATTGTACCTGTATGACATGGGTATATTTGCTCGCCCATAAAAGTGATGTTACTGCCACAATTCGCGAATTTCATGCTATGATCTCCACTTAGTTTCAAGCATCATCAAAGTGTTTCAGTCCGACAATAGTGGGGAACATGTGAATGGTGTCTTGGCTCAATTCTTCCGGGACCAAGGCATCATCCACCAAACCTCCACCTTTTTCACTCCACAACAAAATGGTGTTGCCGAGCAAAAGAATCGTCAATTACTTGGGGTTGCACGTGCCTACATGCTTGATAAATCTGTCACTCACTACTTATGAAGTCATGTTATTCTTTCTGTAATATATGTGATTAATCGGGTGCCTAGTAGTGTTTTGGATTTCCAAACTCCGCTCGACGCCTTGGCTTGTCATATCTCTTTTCCTACTATTCTCAAGTTGCCTCCCCGTGTGTTTGGTTGTGTTGTTTATGCTCATGTCCCCTCTTATCAATGGAGTAAGCTCGATCCTTGTGCCCTCCTATGTGTGTTTGTTGGATATGGATCGACTCAAAAAGGATACAAGTGTTACCATGCTCTTACTCAAAAGCTCTTTGTCACTATGGATGCCACTTTTCATGAAGAATTGGCCTACTTTGTGGTTTCTACGTCCCCTTCTCTTCAGGGGGAGAAGGGTGAAGAGAAAGACACATCACTTGAAAAAAAGACTAGAGAACATGCTAACAACCCTGAAGAAATGCCTCAGGCGAACGGTCGCCCTACTACCTGCAACTGGTCGTTTTTACACAGAGTCGACGATGCTGAAGAAACGTCCCAGACGACCGGTCGCCCTAATACTTGCGACCGGTTGCTTTTACACATAGTTGAAAATACTGGAGAAATTTCAGTTCCGTTCCATCCTGACCTCAGTGAGAACCTTGAGACCATAGTACCTGAAGATGATCCAGATGTCCCTGACATCTAACTACAAAATACAACCCCTCCTGCCCTGCCATCACACCATTCGTCGAGTAATGAAGAAACACTTGAGGTAATCACTGAACCACCTATTGTTACACTATATACACTTCCACCTAGAACCACTAGGAGAAAACCTAAGCCTCAATATTGCCTTGACCTTAATGCTAAATCAAAATATCCCATTAATAACCATGTGTCCACTCACAGATTTTCAAAGTCATATGCATCATTTGTCAATCAATTATCTATTGTATGTGTTCCAAGTAAGTGGCAGGATGTTGTGACAGACTCTAGGTGGGCTAAAGCAATGGCTATTGAGATGGAAGCTCTGAAAAAAGAATTCTATGTGGGAAATGGTTCCTTTACCACAAGGGAAGAAACCAGTTGGATGTCGATGGATATTCACCGTTAAATACAAAGTTGATGGATTTATAGACCGGTACAAAGCTCGATTAGTGGTCAAAGGGTATACACAGTCATATGGAATCAACTATCAAGAAACATTTGCACATATTGCCAAGATCAACATTGTACATGTTCTCATATCCTTGGCTGCAAATCTTGACTGGCCATTACTGTAGTATGATGTAAAGAATGCATTTCTTCACGGGGACTTACAAGAAGAGTTGTATATGGATCCACCACCTGGGATCCCTGTGACATCTAGACTCACTACCGTATGCAAGCTAAGGAAATCATTATATGGGTTAAAGCAATCACTGCGAGCCTGGTTTGAGAGATTTACATATTCCATGAAGCGATTTGGGTATACACAGAGTAACTCGAATCACACACTGTTCTTAAAACGTTGTGGTGAGAAACTTACAGCCCTGATCATCTATGTAGATGATATGGTAGTTACCAGTAATGACAGTGAAGAAAGGTAGACTCTACAGAAGCTTCTTGCAAGTGAATTTGAGATGAAAGAACTAGGTGAGTTACAGTAATTTCTTGGCATAGAAGTTGCTAGATCTAAACATGGCATATTTCTATTCCAAAAAAAATATGTGTTAGATTTGCTGACAGAGACTGGAATGCTAGATTGCAAGCCAACTGACACACCTATTAAGCAAAATCACAAATTGGGAATGTATCCAGATCAAGCTTCTACTGACAAAGAAAGATATCAAAGATTAGTTGGGTGACTAATTTATCTGTCCCATACAAGCCCCGACATAGCCTATGCTGTGAGTGTGGTAAGTCAGTTCATGCATCAACCAAGTGAAGCACACATGGATGAAGTAACACGGATAATGTGATACCTGAAGACTGCCCCTAGAAAAGGATTTATGTTCTCCAAAAATACACATATGGATCTTGAAGGATACACAGATGCTGACTGGGCAAGATCCATCATGGATAGACGTTCTACTTCTGGATATTTTACATTTGTGGGTGACAACTTAGTCACTTGGAGAAGTAAAAAGTAAAGAGTTGTGGCTAGATCCAATGTTGAAGTTGAATTTAGGGGAATGGCTCAAGGAGTATGTGAATTGCTCTGGCTAAGGAGATTATTAAATGATCTTAGCATAAAACAATTGAAAGCCACAAACCTGTATTGTGACAATAAAGCTACTATTGAGATAGCTCATAATCCAATACAACACGACCGCACTAAACATGTGGAAATTGACTGACACTTCATCAAAGAAAAATTGGAAAGTAGTATGATTGAGTTTCCATTTGTAAACTCAAGAAACCAACTTGCTGATGTCCTGACAAAGGCAGTATCAAGTAAAGTTTTCTATGACTCTCTTGACAAGTTGGGCATGCATGATATCTTTGCACCACCTTGAGGGGGAGTGTTAGTTAGTTAGTTAGTTAGTTTGTTAATACATTAATGAGCTAGTTGGTTGGATTTAGTTCCCTAATAAGGTGGGTAGTTGGTAGGATAAGGTTGGTAGCCTTTTTTTTTTTTTTTTCCCAAGAAGGTTGGTAGCCTTAATTCCCTAAATTGAGGGATTGACTTTAGGTGTTCCAAGGCTTGGAAAGGAAGCCAAGGCCAGCTACCCTATTGTTTGTTTTTGTTTAGGAGCTTGGAGAGGAAGCCAACTCTCTTTGTATATATCCTATTGTAAGTGATTCAATGTTCATATAAAAAACTGCAACCAGTAAATCTCTACAAGTTTTACATTCTATTTGGAAGTTCTGGGATTGTTATTTTTGGTATTGGGTTCTTTATATTTAGAAAATTTTGGGTTTTTTTTTTCCCGAGAATTTCTAGCTTCTTGAAATTTTATTCGTATTTTGGGAATTGGGGTTTTAGGGGTTATGGGCTTTTCAATTTGATTTGGGGTTCTAATTGGGTTTGGAGTTATGGGATTGTTAATTTTGATATTCGGTTGTTTATATTTAGAGAATTTTGGAGTTTTTTTTCTAGAGAATTTCTAGTCAATGATCACCAAGCTTCATAAAAATTTCTAGCCAATGATCATCAAGCTTCACAATCAAAGCTGGCCCACCACAGGTATGCACTTCTTGGAATTTTATTTGTACTTTGGGAATTGAGGTTTTAGGGGTTATGGGCTTTTCAATTTGATTTTGGGTTCTAATTGGGTTTGGAGTTATGGGATTGTTAATTTTGATATTCGGTTCTTTATATTTAGAGAATTTTGGGTTTTTTTTATATAGAGAATTTCTAGCCAAGGATCATCAAGCTTCACAACCAAAGCTGGCCCACCACAAGTATGCATTTCTTGGAATTTTATTTGTATTTTGGGAATTGGGGTTTTAGGGGGTATGGGCTTTTCAATTTGATTTTGGGTTCTAATTGGGTTTGGAGTTATGGGATTGTTAATTTTGATATTCAGTTCTTTATATTTAGAGAATTTTGGGTTTTTTTTATTTATAGAGAATTTCTAGCCAAGGATCATCAAGCTTCACAATCAATTTCTGGCCCACCACAGAAACAAAGCTAGCGCACTCCATGCTTGCAACTTTGCAAGGCAGCTAGCAACTAATTCGAAAGGTTTTGAAGCTAGCCGATGAGGCAAGAGAAAACAAGTTGCACTTTCCCTAATTGGGTCTGAGATGTTCATCTTTATATTTCACTAGCCTCTCCGCACGCGCTTCCGCGCTTGCGAGAGGCTTTTTTAAAAAAAATTAAAATTTATTTTAGAATTAAAAAGATAATGGGTAGTTGTGTTCCATAAAAATTGGCCATTATCTTATTTTTATTTTATTTTTTATTTTTTTAAATATGAAAAAGTGTGAATTTACCATATTATCCTCATTTAATTAATAATTTCAATTCTTAATGTTTGCATTAACCAATGACATATTCTGGTATTTTGAATGTTTCACCATTCTCTGCCTTTTGCTTTATATATATATAGATAGATTATGTAACAGTTAATATTATATACGTCCCATTCAGATTACTACTAGTTAATACTTGATTGCCACTTGCCTGTAAATGTAAGTGTGTTTTCTCATCTTGATTAGATTTATGTTATGTTAGTACGTGTATAGTATACTTGATTTTTATAATGGAGGATGCAATGAAAACCAATTCTAATAATTAAATAACAGAGATTTGACTAATATTAGAAACTCCAACGATAGATAAAGTAATAATTTCATGATGCTCACTCAGTATGGGAGATTCGTATCTTAGTCCACCACTCCACTCCACAGCAATTGACCAAAACAACATACGACTTTCAAGTGGCACTTGGATTAGGAAGATGCCTATGTTATTTATCAAAATCAATGGTGAGACTATGTATCTAATCCACGAGTCCAACAACTATGACGGATTGATCTGCTGCTTCGCGTAATTCCTCAACGAAACTATTTGAATGCGAAAAACATCACTGGTTCTTTATTGTCAAAGCTCTAGCTTCTGGCTGTTAAATTGTCAGATGCCTCAAATGCGACTTGAATCCCTCCTCCCTCCTCCCTCCCCCAAATGAAACGCCTATCCCAGTCAGTCTGATATCAACAATGCCCTGATGCGCCAGCTGATTTGTTCAGGAAGCAAATTATTCAAACACACGAGTAAAACTGAGAATCAAAATCTGTTTATGTCCGACGACAGAAATTTCAACCCAGCCAGCCACTGGGAGCTGTATGCTGCTGTTTGCTCTCATCCCAATCCCAAAGGACCAAATTGTCCAAGATGTTCCTATCTTCAAACAAGAAATCATCCACAAATTAGCACCTCACCAAGGCATATCACTAACTGTTTAACTTGTCTTCTCATTCTATTACAATGGTAACTAAGATGATAATTTTCTTGCTACTTAAGTCAACTAACATTACAGAACACAGAACTAAGAAGCACTAAACTTTAAGCAATTAACTTGATGAATATTTGCTACTAGTGCATGCACACACTATCAATGTTAACTGTGTGTGATAAGAGCCTCAGACTTGCAACATGGTATGTGTGACTAAATGAGAGGAAGAGAGACGGAGAGAGATTACCATGTATTTTGTAAGCTTCAAAGAGTGAGCACAATAGGCTTCAATCTTCAAAACGTGAGAACGAAAGGCGGGGCATCCCTTCTTGGCCCAGCAACAGAACGGTAAACGTAGACTTTATCAGCTTGATTTTCATCATTCCCATCATCCTTCATTACCTCAACATTCAATCTCGGCCTCTCACTTGCCAATGAGCGACACGCGTTCATTGTCACATTGCAGGCTGACATCCAAACTGACCTCATAGATTCATACTTCTCTAAACCTGAGAGCAAAGCCACATCCCCGAATGGGCAGTCCCGAATCTCAAGTTTCTTGAGCTTGGGACAACCATCCAGCACACATTGCATCCCCCAATCACTTTCTCCAGCGAAGGCTACTGAAAGGTATTCCAAATTTTGGGCATGTTTCCCAATGTATTCAAATGTAAGGTCGGTCAATAAACCTGAAACTGAAAGCCTTTGTAGTTTAGTGCACGTCTTCACCACTGCCCCAAAAGCCTCATCCATAGGCTCTTTTGTTAGGTAATCTGGTTGCCCTGGGTTCATTATGCAGAGACGAAAGTGGGTGATATCAGGGCAGTTTTGTGCAACGGTTGCTATAGCAGCATTAGTCATCTGCCAACAAAAGTAGAGGACATAGCGGAGTCTTCGGCAGCCATAAGACAGAGCAACAAACCCAGATTCAGTCACCCCATCGATAATATCATCACCGTCAGGAGCAGAAGGGAAAACACGGAGTTCCTCAAGCAAAGGACAGTTCGATCCAACAGCCTCCAACCCTTTGTCTTCCACTGTGTCCAGGACCTGTATCAAAAATTTGATATCAAGAGTTAGCACCTGAGGATTTCAATAGTCAACATATCTTCCCATTCAACAGTTGTAGATGCACTTGCAGTGTTCAGAAAAATAAATAAGCCAATCAAAGAGAGGGTTAAGTTATTATTTCATCAGTGTGGTCAAACAGTAACGATTTCAAAACCCCAATTATGTACCATGTCATTATTGTAAAGATTATAATGTGTTTCCTTCTCATCTACCTTAATAGATTAGCATTTTCAAAATGAAGAAGCTATTATGTAGAAAAGGAAATAAATGGGAAATTTACTTACCCAAAGGCGCCGGAGGAGTGGGCAATGAGCAACAAGCTTAGCAAGGTCCCAACTTTGCAAAGTAGCATAACTCAAATTCAAGAAAGTGAGATTTGTACAAGTAGGATACAGAACTGGGAGATAAAGGGCCGTTGCTTCCCATAAGCCAGAGAGGGTGTGCAAATTCTTGCAATTGCTAAATGCTCTTTCAAGTTGTGAATGCTGAGCAGCTGTGAGCTCTTGCCAAAATGAGCCGGTGCCAAGCTCCAAAAGTTGAGGAGCATGGGTAAGAAGACTTTGTAGTTGTTCCAAGGTTACACTTTTATTAACCTTTAACACCTTGAATGATTTGCACCTACTTACAAGTCTCTCAAGAGCATCAAAATCAACTTTGCTATTGAAGCTGGCAAAGTTTAGTATTTCCAATGATGTGAAGGTTTCAGGGAAACAACTTAACCAGTCCCCACTTTTATCATCAATGTCATTCTCCTGTATGTCGAGCTCAATCAAATTCCTGTAACCAAATGATTTTGTTCAAAAAGTTATAAATCAGGGATGAATTCTTTTCTTCAACCATTACTCTCTCTCTCTCTCTCTCAGATCTCATCTCTGGAACCCAAAAACCAATCGAAAAACACTTAGCAATCAAAACTCAAAAACTGGAAAAGGTCCAAATCCAGAAAGACACTTACTTGCAGTGAGTGGCAATGGCTTCAAGGCCATCAGTGCTGAACCCATCACAGCTGAGAAGCGAGAGAGCTCTGAACTCGGGAAACGAAACAGCCAAAAATTCAAGGCTCTCATCAGTCACCGTCATCCTCTTCAGCCTCAGCTCCTCCAAAAGTGGGCATTCGGAGGCGAACACCTCAAGCCAAGGCTGAACATCGCCGCCCCAATTCGGAGGGACCAGATTGAAGTCCGAGAACCGCGGCCTCCCTTTCAGGGTCACGCTCCGAATGTTCGGAAACCGCCGGGTCACGATATCCGGCGACACCGAGTAGCAGTTTCCGATGAAGACGTGACGGCGAGACAACCGCTCCGCTTCGTACCAGTCCTTGCACACCAGCGAGACCGAGCTCCGGTCCTTGCGCGAGTTAACCAGGCCCAGGCCCAGGAGCTGCTCCAGCACCTTCTTTATTTTTGAATCCATAAAAACAGAGCTCAGTCTGAGCAGAGCAAGAGAAGAGAAGAAGAGGGCTTTGTCCTTTGTGTCTGAAAATGCGCAGAATATGGAGGTTGAGCTGGAGAAGGAGGAGAAAGAAGCAAATAGTTAGCAGCAGCAGCAGCAGAGAAAAATAATAGTTTAGGGATCTAGTAATGGTGATTAGTTATTTAAATTATTATTTGTTTAACAAGCTAGAATGTAATCTATGGATGAACGAATACTTCCTCGAGGTGATTAGACATCACCAACGAAGTTAATTACTGTATGAGTGTATTATTCATCTCCCTCTTTGTCCCCCCTAAAGCTTAACAAGCCCATGTTCTACCAACGGTCTCCTTTTCTGGGTGTCCATATAAAATAGTGGATTCCATAAACTTGTCCATTATTTGTCGGCTCGGCAACGTGGGGATTTGCACGTGGCAGCTGCTGATCGGATCTCAGTTGTTCATACGTGTAGTCCATTCAATTCATTTCATTATTCAGTTCATTTTTAAGCGGTTGGAACCAATTCCTGTCACTCATAGTAGAAAACAAGGAAATTTGATGGGATGTCATGTCTCAAATACAAGTTGTAGTTTGCCTCCGAACGAAAGGAATCAAGCAATTTCTTCTTTGAATTAAACAATTCCGGAAAAGTAGGGTGTGCACGATCCAATCTGGATCGGTTTCATCTCAAAACCTGCACTCCTGTTTTCGTCCGCACATTCAAGAAGTGACCAAAATATCTCATCTCACTTACAAAGTTTGCAACTTGCAATTGGGAACGTATATCTGCGTCCTTTCAATAAAAAAAATAAAAGTAAATAGAACATCACCACCCACCGAACAAAAATCAGACGGAATATAACTGCAAAATTTGGGACCTTCAAATCCCACACATAATCATTCCAGTAACAGCCGCAAAGGGTTAGGAATATAATATGCGTATAGTTAAAGAGGATTATAAAAATAAAAATAAACAATGGTGAGGTGAGTCGACGAATCCGATACAACTACTACATCAAGGATCTGCTGCTTCTTCTTCACCTAAACTCATTCATCAATCAACCAACCACTTGAATCCGGAAAACAAAACTTGTTCTTTATTTGTCAAACTCTCTTGTTAAGATAAGATAGCTTCTGGCAGTTGAATTGAAATGAAATGTGCCTCAAATGCGACTTGAATCCCTCCCCCAGATGAAACGCCTAACCCAGTCTGTTACCACCAATGCCCTGTTGCGCCAGCTCACTTGTTTGCTGAATTGTTAAAATAAAACAGTCAAAAGAGAAAAATCAATCTCTGTTTATATCCAACAACCAACAGGGGATTGAAATTGAAATTGAAATTTCAGCTCAACAACCAAGAGAGGAAATAAATAAATAAAAGTCACACGGTACCTTGTATAAACAGAATACCAAAGCCACTGGGAGCTGTGGCCGATCGATACCCAATCCCCAGGAAGCTGGGCTGCTGTTTGCTCTCCACCCAGAGGAGCAAATTGTCCAAGATGCTTGTACCTTCAGGAAGAATATTAAGATTAGACAATGGAAATGTTCACAGTTAGGTTTCATCTAATCGCAAAAGCATGGCTTCAGAAAAACACACAGATTTCAATTTAACTCATACCTAAATGGGCGAAACCGATGGCGGCCTTCCCCACGGAATCTGAGAGGACCTTCTGGATTTTTCTCACAGTCTTCCATTCGGTTAAAACACTTGGCAAGGTAGACACCTTGTTGAGCAGCAACCTGGAATATGCCATTTGAGAGGGAAATGAGACATGTATGTGGAGAGACATGCCTTCAATAAATAATATACTCAAATGTGCATAAAAACGCATAATACCTGGCCTGTAGCTGGAAGATTTTTCATCTGGGAATCCACATTGGAAAGAGCTGTTTTGAAATCTTCAATATTCAGCTCTGCGGATCCTTTTGAAACATCCGGTGTTTCCTTCAAAAGATCAACCATATTCTTCATCTGTTTGCTCTTCAAATAAACCTGCACTTGAGGATACCTTTCACAAATATCATTAATCACTGCTTTATATTCCTCAACTGTGAGTGTTCCTGAATTATCCTTGTCCGCCTTTCGGAATATGGCAGCGATATCTTCCTGAAAAACAAATAGGCATTAAGACAAATTAAAGGAATGTTCACATCAAACAACTGTTCCAATATAATAGATAATGTACCGACTTAACGGTAATTTAGCATTAGCAAATCAAAGAATTTGTTGATGTATTCACTAACTTATTAACAAGAAAATACGGATGAACACAGATTTCCATAGAGCAAATAGAGAACCAAAGAACTGGTCTACTCATCAATTCTAATATAGAAACCAGAAATTAACTCGTTCTCATGACTCCCATGATCCCATTCCCCTTCAGTTTTAACTGTTCACCACGTTGTAGTCATCTCACAATAGCCATTCCATGACGAGAAAAATAAATCCCACTGTTGTGCTGAACACACTTTTCCCAAATAAAAGAACGACGAGACAAAGGTCTACTGGAAACTGCAATTTTTGGCAACTGTGGTACAAAAATAAACGTTGGAGAAATAACAGGGGCACTTACCATGACTTTGCGCTGATTTATTGTGGCACAATCACCAATTGCATACACTTTGTCACATCCCTCCACTCGCAGCCATTCATCAGTTGCTAACACCCGTCGATTAGCCTGTGCATTAAGGAACAGATGCTTGTTTAATAAGAGTGACATGTACTTGTAAAAGACATATAATTGAGCTTCGTAAGATTTCTAAAGACGGAGAAGTCAGCACAACATCAATAAGAAGGACAAACACACCTGACCAACTTGACTCATGAAATCCTTTATGAAAGGACGCGTTCCTACACCAGTTGACCAGAGTGCCATTCCATAAGGTATGGTCGAAACTTCCCCTCCATTTTTCAATTCTTTGGTAAAGATTTCTTTTTCAGTTACTTTCACAACCATGGATCCTGTTTTCACATTAATACCATCTCTTTGAAATTTTTCTTCAGCAAAAGCTGTGATTCTTTTATCAAACCTGCAAAAACATGAGAAAAGTTCAATGATCACAAAGAAATAACTGCACACATGCATTTCAGTCAGATTATAATAAAACTGCAAAAGCATATCAATGCATGCTTATCGTAGGGTAATGCTAGATTAAACAACAAAATACTATTTCGAAATATATAACGAAGGTTTATATGTGAGATTATTTACTAACATGTTCAGAATATGATCTCCAGCCTCGAGAAGTGTTATTTTAACTAGATCTTTGACCCTGGGATACAATTTGACTAAATCCTCGTTGACGAAATCATGAAGTGCTGCAGCAAACTCCACACCAGTTGGGCCACCACCAACAATGGCAAAATGAAGAATTCTCTTCTTTTCCTCATCGCTAACAGCTGGAAGGCTTGCCCTTTCGAAGCAGTCAATAACAGTTCTTCGGATCTTTTGAGCATCTTCTACTTCCTGCGTGAGGAAGTAAATTTCACGAGGTGAATAAAACAACAAATAAGCATACATCAATTAATCTTACAACCAAAAAGCTTTATTCACTTTCTTTGTCCTACTGTGAGTAGCTGATCTGAGGATCTTGATTTCACAAGAGAAAACTTACAGGAACATACTGATACATAAATGTACAAGGTTTACAAAGAAGTTACCTTCAAGAAATGGCAGTTCTCAACGACACCAGGAGTATTGAATGTATTAACATTGGCTCCCACAGCTACTATAAGGTAGTCATAATCCACAACGAACTCTTCTTGTCCATTCAAATTGTTTTCTACATTAGATCGACAATAGATTTTCTGGTTTACTGCATCGATCTTGAGACATGCAGCTTCACTGAATTGAACATCTACAGTTTTCTGTACCCCAAAAAAAATCATTGTCAATTTGTTGAACACCAACAGTTAGAGAGAGTGATACAATTATTATCCAACCATTACCTTTCTAGCAATGTTTCGAATTGGTTCAACAATGCTGCGAGCTTCCACTGTACCACAGGTAACACTTGGTAGCAGAGGGGTGAAGGCAAAGTAATTCCGAGGTGATATGACATGAACCTCATAATCGGGATTTTTCAGATTCCTTAAGAAACTTGTTCCAGCCCAGCCAGTTCCAAGTACCACAACCTTCTTTTTCTTATTGTCCACTTCAGCTGAAGTCAGGACAGGCGCGCTGCTGACCAGTTTTCGCTCAGGGTTTGCCTCAGCGTAAGCCAAAAGGCCGCAACCACTGCATTTTGAAGCAACAGCCATGAGACAAAACCATCATATAATCATGTGTCATGTATTACGTGAGCATACCAATAACAAAAATGCAGTTTCTCGACCTCTGAAGGGTTAGCAGCACGAGCATTTTTTTTGTTACTTTTTGATCTTACAGTTTATCTACAAATAAGCATTCAAAGTACAAATTTTCTTTTCTTAATAGGAAATGGCCACGTCTTTGTTTCTTCACTACTTTTGTGCATAATTTACACTACACAGACATAATTTATTGGTATGCTAACATAGTTTCGCCATGATTATATAGGCAAATGATATGAATCTGCTCATGGTGATTCTGCTCATAGCAACTCTATGCCTTAGGTGAATGCAATCCAATTTCCTAAAATTTCGCCTTTCCTATACAATTTTCTATATGTATGAAATAAGTGCAAGAGATCTGATTGACTCCAGAGACTGCCAACAAAATCGGAACGAAAAAAAAAAAGGCAGAGTACATATTTTTCACTACGGAATAAAACAGAGCATATATTTTTCAGCATGTTGTAAAACAGAGAACATATTTTTTAGCAAGGAAACGCAATCAAATGGAGTAATACAGCAATACTATAGCTTCTAATAAAAGTATACGCCAAACTGAGAGATTAAAACATATAAGAAAATTAAAATTCTGTCACATTCTACTGCAATACTAATATTAGAAATCGCCCAAAAAAAAACTAATATTATAAGTAATAATTTGTACAAGAAAAATATGTAGAACTGAACGAACGCATAGGAAACCAGATCAAACGCGTAGAAGATGAAAGAGATGATAGACAGAGAAAGTGAGTATACCTGACGGCGACGACGACGAGCACTTTGGGAATCGAAGGATAGTCATGGAAAGCTCTAGAAACTCTATGGAAGAAAGCGAAACCTCTCATTTTTCACTGCTTTCAAGCTTTTCGGCGCTTAGATCTACAGCCGAAAAGGCACAAAACAGAGAGAAGCAGAGGGAAGAAGAAGAGGGAAGTTACAGAGGAAAAAACAGAGAGAGAGAGAGAAACGCGGCTTTGCCTGTAATGTAGGAATGTGTGAAAAAGAAGCTTCAAATATATATGTGTCAAAAGAATCCGGAGAGGTTGGAGAACGTGATGCGTGTGTGTTTGGGAGGTTTCCAGATTTGCTCTCGTCAAGCGCCGACTTGGAGCGCAAGGCAAAACTTTAGCACGTGTGAGGGCGAATCGCTTTCTTTGTACGGGTTTTGACACGTCCGCCCTGGTGGGCCCCACTGATGGGCTGGACGCTGGAGAGGCTGCGTGATCAAATTGATGCACAGAGCAATTCACGCCTCATATTTTTTATTCTTTCTTATTTTGTATTTTTTATAAAAAGAAATATATGAATTAGGTGGAGGAAAGAAAAAAACACATTGACATCATCACATGCCACATGGCTTTCCGCCAAACGAAAGTACACCTTAGCTGTATTTGAGAGCATATGCACCCCAGAATTACCGGAATACACCAAATCTTGACGATTTTTACTTTTCTTTTCTTTTTTTGATACAGACGCATTAAACGTAGACTTTTATTATTTTATTATCTTTTGGTTTTGTGGCCTTTATTAGACTAATAAATCTCGAGGTTAGACGAAAAGAAATTTTGACCAATTTTCTGAAACATACTTTTCACTTTCCAAGATGTCTAGCATTTGACTTGTTCACCTAAAGAAATATTTTTATTATTCAAATCAAAATAATATGTTAGATTCTGTAATGCATTTTTATTTATTTATTTATTTATTTAATGCCTTTTCTATTGAGATACCTTACTTTGACGTATTTTTAAGGACACTCTTTTTATTTAGTACACATGGCAGCTGTCGAGATTGATGAATATAAGCAAAATTACAGAAATGTACCAAATTACAATAAAGTTTCAAAGTTTGTTACTTGCTGCTACTGGTTGGTCAACCCACGCATCATGTTCAATTTCTCCTACAGTTGGTGGGATGAAATTTGCATGTGATATATAATATTCTTTGCATATACGCCTACAGGTCAAAAGCATGAAGAATCGCATTCTCCATGCTGAACCAAATAATAAGCTGCTCAACTCCATTTCGCTTGATGAGACTTGCAAGACGTAATATATTATATTGTTTTACAATTTAATTAGTTTAGTCCTTCTCTTCTCATCTTTTATAAGTTCATCAAACAACGGCTAAAACATTAGTTTAATATAACTGGAATAATCTAATACAAGTCAAGCCGCCAAACAAGTTTGATATAAGTTGTTATTTTTTATTTTCTTTGGCTGTTAGCAACAAATTTCATCATTTCATTCCATTTTATAGGTTTTTTTTTATAGAGATATTTAGTTATATACACATTCTTAACACTAAAATTATAAATAAACCATACACCATTTAATTTCGATAAACAAACTCAAAAAACACCCAAAAAAATGACAGGTGACCTTAATGAATTTAATTTTTATTATTAAATTACTTTGATGTCCCATTGAGTATTTTGGGTTTTTTTATGAGGTTTTGGGGTTGGGTTTGTTTTAAGAAATCAATGGCAGTTTTATAATTTAAAAGAAGTTAAAAGCCTTTTTGTTATGTTGTAAATGAGCTTTGGGTGAGTTTCAAAAGTCCATTTCATCTATGGTATTTTTAAAATTTGGGCTCCTATAATGGTTTTGATTGTGTTGAAACTGTTAAAAACAGAATGATTGTGTTGAAACTGTTAAAAAGGTTTTGATTTGATGCTCTCAAGACTTAACTTAATCACTGAAATTTAACCCGCAAAGTGTATATAAAAGGAGTTGAACAAGGCTTTGCTTGCTTGCTAAGTAATTCTGGAATTTTTTTCCGCGCCAGCTTTGCTTTGTGCTTCTCTCCCCAGCTTCTTTTCTCCTGCGTGACCCCGCTGTTTCAGATGTAAAAGTTCATGCATCTCCAGCAAACTTTGCAAATTTACACCCCCACTATTGTTGTTTCCGGGTACCCGGGGTGTAAAAGGGATTTTACGTATCCACAAATAGGAATGTAAAGGTAGTAATGCCACCAACGGGTCCCTTTGGTAAACCACCTCGATTTTCAAACCAGTAATCTCAAGTTTAAACCCGATAACACCTTAACAATGTGTATGAGAAACATCCCTCTTTGTAGTTTAGACTGTCACTTGCATTTTTAAATTAAAAAAAAGTCTGTTGTAATGACAGAGGAATCATTACAGCAGGGCATAAGGACCAAAGCTTCAAACAACCGTAAGAGCGCCAAAAGGACCTTGTTCTTCTTCCCACGTCTATAGTTTGCTTTGTTGTTCAAATTCCCACCGTCCCACATCTAGTTTGTGATCAAGATTTATATACTTCTATGCATGTCTATATGAATCGGAATATTAATGAGAACCGTGTAGGAACTTTGCCTAGTTGAAAAACATGAATTGATGCTAGCTCAATATAATGTAATAGGGTCCTTGTCACTTCAGATGTCTCGGATTCAAGAGCACATCTAGCCGGCTACCGGCCCCCATTCTCTCTGGTGCACGGCCATGTGCTCCCCCTCTCACGGCTGCTTGCCTTGTCCTCCCCTCTGTCTGCCGCCATCTTCAATCAAGAGTTTGGGTTCTCAAACCCTTTTCTCTTTCTACGTGGCAAACAAACTTCAGAAGTGAAAATTAAAAAACATAGGATGATCTTGGAGATAGTAATCTTTGTTGCAGCAGAGAAAAGCACTAAGGAGGAAGAAGTTAAGCTAGTTAATCACCCCATAATGGAAACTTCCTCAACCCATCATGATTTTACAAATCCTTAACAATTTAATTGTGGGGACAAGGTTGTTTCTTCCAAAATTGGAAGTGAAATTGACAAACCCTCGAAGCTTACGAGTATGTCTACCCCATTTCATTTACCGAACGGACAAAAAATCAAGCACAAGATTCACCAAAAGAATCAAACATAATAGTTGGGGCACTTTCTATTTCCTCATCTGCTCGTATTTTTTTGGGGTCATAAATCTGCTTGTCATTCACTGCTCTTCCAAAGCTTCTAGCAGTCCAAATATGACAACTACGTTAGCATATACAATTTACTTTTCCTTGGGTTCAGTTCTGGTCATGTACTTACTCGGGTAGGCTACCTTAATAAGTTTATGATATACAGATTGCACTTTGCTTTATTTAAATGGCTGTAACAACATCATCAAGACCGACATAGCCGTTCAATGTTACAAAAAATGTAGAATAATAAAGAAAGGCCTTGTGACTGTTACATAACCTCAAATTCATATTTAAAGAATGCTAAAATATGAGAATATAGGAGAATATGAGAATGAGAGAAGATAATTTTTCTGGTTTTTCAACTTGATTGATTCTATTACTTACAACATATTTATACAAGTCCTACAACTACAAACAAGAAAACAAGGTTTCCATGAAACAAGGAAACAATGTTCCCATAAAATATGGAAATAATGTTCCCATAAAATATGGAAATAATGTTCCCATAAAACAAGGAAACATAGCTTTAGCTAACAAAGAATATGTATGGTAGCATAGATTTTGGAGTTACATGTCACAACTATCAGTATCCCCTGTTTTCCATTTTCGATCATGAACATGAAAAACTGTTCTCCTGAATATGTCAATCTACTTCAATCTAATTAACAAGGCAACAGCCCCCCTTGATTGAATAAATCAGTGATACATCCATCAATTCGAATGAATAATCAATTTCTTTGCCACCAACCTAATGCCTGCACTCTCCTGATAGTCATATGGGTCCAAGGAGAAGAAAGCATCCATAAAACTCCCCTGTTTGAACAAGGTACTAAGTTCTGAAGCATCAAGCTTAGTGAAGACTAGCCTCTGCTCAGTGCCAGAAGGCTCTTTTTGATATATCTCTGTGGCGTAGATCGCAATATCCCCACATACTGCTGTCTGTATACTGCAGAAACAAACATAGAAAGCATCACATATCTAATCAGTTCAGACGAATCTTCAAGGAGGGAAATTTTGAAGTACTCTCCATCTACACTACTAAAAAGGTCATGACTTGCAAGGTTATAAAACTTTGGCTCAGTTTATTTTGTAGAAAAAACCAGAAATAATAAAACAGAGTTTGATACACTGGGATGAAATGTAACTTTCTCAATAGCCAATAAACTGCAGAAAAGAGAGAGAGAGAGAGAGAGAGAGAGAGAGAGAGGATAAAAGCGAGGACTAAGACTAGAACTTACTGCAATCTCACTGTAGGGTAGTTGTAGAAGCCCTCTTTCCGGATCACAACAGGTCTCCATTCGGAGTTGCTTCCGGAATCCACAGACAACTTCTGTGCAATGCCATCACATGCATCAAGAACTTCACATAAATTTGGTGATGCATCGGCGACAATATTCAATCTGGGCCGTCCAGCATGATCAAAAAACTTTGTATTAATTCCAAACCGTAATTGCATATGCCTACAGCAAAGCTGCAAAGTGACATCTTTGTGTAATAACTTTATCCTCTGACTCCCACGATACAACGGAGCAAGGGAAGCACAGATAGAAGGAATAAAAACTTCATCAGGCTGTAAAAATCCCACCCTGCTAATGCAACTCTCAGATGCAGCAGCTGGGGAAGAACTATTGGGAGTCTCTGGTACAGGTACTTCTACCATGGTGGTGTCTGGCTGATTCAACTCTTCCTGCATTTCAATGCTGAGTGGGCCCATGTCAAAGGGATCTGGTTGAGCTGAGATAGATTCAACCAGATTAGAGACTTCTGCGTTTTGAGCCCTCTTCTCAGCAGATGATTTTGCATCACTACGACTTCTTGTGGTAGCATTTGGAGAAACCCAACTGTTCTCTGTGAATATGTCTGGGAGGCTCGACTCCTGTGAGTACATCAGACTTATAGTCAATTTTTTACTATTGATATATTTTCTTGAGTTTACCTTCAAAAGGTCCAACAAGTGAAATTCAAGATAACTATAAGAAGTGTGAACATGTTAATAAAGAATGAATTCGTTCTTCATGCCTTTCAAAATAACATTATTACCAAGAATAAGACGGTTGCACAGTATTTCAAAACTTCAAGATTCATACGAACATCATCCAAACTCCTGAAAAATCAATAGATAAAATATTAGTTCAAGAAAACCAAATTGAAATCAAGAGCGAGTAACTAGATTACAAGTATGTTTGCACAAAAACCTATGTGTCTGCTGTCCAAGCCCAAAATAGGTTGCAAGAGTGGCCATCTACGCAAAATAATACGTCCCAAGTATGTATCAACATTCACAAACAAAATAGATCAACATCTAGAAGCTGCACAACTTTTCTGCCTCAAAATTACATATTTCATTTTGTCCTTTAAAGATTGATTTTGAAGAATTTAAAAAACTTATTTGAATCAAAATCTAACTGATAAGATTTATCATATATACACACACATGTTCTATATGAGAGATGGAGAGAAAATTTACCTTCATGTTACCAGCTCTTCTTCCAAAGCGCTGTGTCAACAATGCCAAGGAATCAATTGTACCCTTGGGTTCGGGTGCAGGCCGACCAATGTGTGCGAACGCTTCCCGGATCCGAGCACAATCAAACCTCAGTATGTTGTGACCTGCCCATATACGTCCTACACACAACAACCATAAAGAAAATATCCCTCAACAAAATAAAAAATCAACTAAAAAGTTTTGATGTCATCATTCCGAAATGAATCTCAAATTTTCCACTACCTACAACCACAGAAATGAAAATCCAAAGCACCCCTTAATTTTATTTTTTTAATTGAGCTTAGTTTAGTTCAGCTAATCTTGCTTGAGTCGTTCTTTGTATTCTGATTCCTTCCTTTCATACCAAAAAAAAATTCAACATATTTATATAATATAAAAAAACCTTGCTCGCAATTCAAACCAAACAAAGCATGAATATCACTTCATTTATGAAAAAGAATAAAAAAATTCACTTTTTTTTATAAAAAATTTCCTCAATTTCTCTGCAACCAAACAGTAACAGTTAGAGACTTAGCAAGAAAGGAAAAGGGAAATGAGCAAACCATGGAGAATGTCGTAGACCGTATCGGCGATCTCTTGAAAGGTAGGGGATGAAATGACAGCGTCTCTGGTAATGCCATTGCAGCGCACGGACAAGGAGGAGATTGAGGAGAGGTCGGCGGGTCGCACCAGTGTGGAGTAGCTCTCGAGCTCCACCAGCTTCCTAGGGCAAACCAGAATCGACCCAAACTCCAATATGGTGAACCCCTGGCCGGGTCGGGTCGGCACCGTCGTCTCCACGTCGAAGAACGCTATTTCGAACCGGTCTTCGCTCCGACTCACCATTTTCTATCTTCGCCGACAGGACAGTTACAGAACGAGCGTGTTTTAAACCGGGTTTTGATTTGATGCTCTCAAGACTTTATTTCATGAAATTTAACCCGCCAAGTGTATATAAAGGAGTTGTATAGTGGCATTCGTGTCGTGTTTGCAGTGTTAGTGTCGTGTTCTTATCAACCCGCTTTTCTTAATGGGTTAACACCACACGACATGATAAGAAAAAGGATTAGAAATGTTAAACACGAACACGAACCGTTATAATTCGTGAATCACACGACACGATAACTCGTTAAAAATTTAAAAAAAAACAGAAATATTAAACAATTAAAAAATCAACCAGTTCAAAAAAAAAATATTCAAACAATCACAACTTTTGGATCTGGAAGAGGATGAGAATGAGCGAGAGAGAGAGATTGAATAGGGGTATCTGCGCTACCACCCTATTGATGAGTTTGAATATTTCTTTGAGAGCTTGGGTTTGAAACCACCTGAGTATGTTCCTCTTCTTCCTCATAAATTGATGCTCTTGATTGATGACGATTGCTGCTTCATAATTATGGTGGTGGAAAAGATGAAAGAGAAGGAAGTGAAGAAGAAAGAGAAAAGCAAAGAAAATCGGGGGAATGGGGGAGGAAAAGACGAAAGAGAAGAAAGAGAAGGAAAAAAAGAAGAAGAAAGAGATAAATTTACAAAAATACCCCTACGCTTAACGGGTTAATGGGTATTCGTAAATTGACACGACACGACATGATAACTTAACAGGTGACTAACGGATCAACACGATATCAACACGACACGATAACTCAGATCCGAATACTAAATTTTTTCGTGCGAATTCGTGTCGTGTAGAGGCTGCGTGATCAAATTGATGCACAGAGCAATTCACGCCTCATATTTTATTTCTTTCTTTATTTTGTATTTTTTATAAAAAGAAATATATGAATTAGGTCAAGGAAAGAAAAAAAACATTGACATCAACCCATGCCACATGGCTTTCCGCCAAGCTAAAGTACACCTCAGCTGTATTTGAGAGCATATGCACCCCAGAATTACCGGAATACACCAAATCTTGACGATTTTTTCTTTTCTTTTCTTTTTTTGATACAGACGCATGAAACCTCGACTTTTATTATTTTATTATCTTTTGGTTTTGTGGCCTTTATTAGACTAAAAGACATTTTGACCAATTTTCTGAAACATACTTTTCACTTTCCAAGATGTCTAGCATTTGACTTGTTCACCTAAAGAAATATTTTTATTATTCAATCAAAATAATATGTTAGATTCTGTAACGCATTTTTATTTATTTTTTTATTTTTTTAATGCTAGCACTAGAAATACTTTTTCTTTTCTTTTAAGAATCTTTTCTATTGAGAGAGATAATAATACACTAAATTCACATATACAACACGGATATTAGGACTCGAACCCATGACCTTACATAAAAGAGCAATTACTCCGATCTTTATTTTTTATTCATTTATTTAGAAACTAATACTTTGACGTATTTTTTAGGACACTCTTTTTATTTAGTACACATGGCAGCTGTCGAGATTGATGAGTATAAGCAAAATTACAATAAAGTTTCAAAGTTTGTTACTTGCTACTGGTTGGTCAACCCACGCATCATGTTCAATTACTCCGACAGTTGGTGAGATGAAATTTGCAGTGATATATAATATTCTTTGCATATACGCCTACAGGTCCAAAGCATGAGGAATCGCATTCTCCATGCTGAACCAAATAAGCTGCCCAACTCCATTTCGTTATATCAGGCTATAGAATTCTTAAACTAATTTGATCCAAAAACTAGACCAAGGCCCGTCCTAAGCCCAATTTCTATATAAAGAGCCCAAATTGATCAGGCTGAAGCAAACTGTTTAAGCGGAGTTTTGGTGAGAAATAACAAGAATGCCTGGAATTTATAACACCAACATTTCTCCCCAATAAGTAAGGGTTTGGTTCTTGATTTGAGCCTTTGACGAGGCCACAAACATCTAAAATTGGGATCACTATCTTGATGTGAGATTGTCCCCTCCCCTCCTTCTGTGCATGCATGATGCATCAAGTCTCCAACAATTCCAAAATGCCAATGTTCATGTGCATGACTTTGTTGCCTCCTCCTCCTCCTCCTCCACCACCTCCTTATCCAAGGTGCACTTCGGACCAAACATTGAAAATTCCACCACCACCACATTAGCCTCCACGTGTCTCTCAAACCTCTAATATCAAGATGACAACAAGTAGTCATTGGTCTAATCGAAAATAAAATTTATAGGGGCATATTAGACATTCCAAATCAACATTTAAAAAAAATTAAGTGATAGTAACCAATCAAACATTTAAACCTTTGGATTAGTGATTAATATGTACTTGAACCTTGGTATAATACAACGGTAAACCATTACGCATAAATCTCGACTCAACATCCCAAAACACTGAAATTTTCACAATCTCCAAAAAACACAATCCATCTTGTACTAATATATTAATTTCATTATTAACCCCAACATTAGCTCAACCTAACCTCGCCGGAAAACAGCCATTTCTTGCCGCAATATTCATTGTTTCTCGTCGGAGATATATCAATCTCTATCAAATTCTCTTCCTCGTGATCAACTTGAAAATCCATGCCTCTCTTTGAATTTTCCTCCAAAGCAATCTCTATCAACCCCTCTCTGTCTTCCTCTTCCCACCTGAAGCACATGGTCTCGGGCGAGTCCCAAACTCCTGTCACTGAATACCCGCCGTCCGATGAGCTATCCGAGTCCGACTCCGGGTAATACATAGACAACGAAGGGTACCTTTCAAGACCCCGAACTTGGCTTTCTTGCTCTTGTTTCGAATTCGGGTCATTTCCATTACGATCCATCTCATCTTCTTCACCTTCATTCTCTTCATAAATGACCTCTAATGGCGCCTTCAGGTTCCACTCGACGAAAAAGTCTTCAAAACAGGGGTTCGGATCAAAACCCATTTCGCTTTCAGAGTCCGTTTCGGATTGGTAGGTGAAAAAGCTGTGATCTTGAGCTTCTGGTGAAGTTGGGATTTGTTCTTGGACTTCGGTTCTTTGAGTGGATGTGCTCGTGCTTCCCCTGTTTTCTTTGTTTTCCTCATTGCATTCTTTGCTCTGGTTGGTTTTGGTACACTCTGTTTCGAGCAGGCAAGAATTGTCTTCCTTTTCTCCGTGTTCATCGACTTCAAATCTTTGAACAGCGCCAAGTCGTAGAATTGTGAGTAAGAGAATTCCTGTTATGATCGGCACTGGTGAGAAAACAATTCTGATGAAATGGTACGGGAAATAGAGGAGGACCAGAGCGTAGAGAGTGACAATGCTTGAAAACAGAGGACTTGAGAAAACAGAAGCACAAAAGCTGATCATGGTTTCAGTCAATACCAAGTCGGAAATGGAATTCAATTGGTACATCATAAGACTCGCATCTTCTTCCATGAAAGATACAAACTTTCTCAAGAGAAAGCGACGAGTAGAGAACCGAATGGTCCAAATCCCATTAATTAGTGGGAGAGGAAAAAGAGGGAAAAAGAACCAAGCTTGGATATGGGGATAAAAGAAGGCGCAGGAGGAGAGCGATGGATAAAGAGGAGGTGGGGTTATTAGAAGAAGGATTGGGTTGTGGGGTTTACAAGCCTTTTTAAGTTTTTATACAGGCGACGGTTTACATTACATTAAATTAATTTAATTTACGAGAAAATGACGACACGGAATATTATTATTGAGAGTAGGGGGAGGGGAGAGGAGGGGAGGGGTAGTGGTGGGTGGGTGCCATCTGCCATGGTTGTGTGCTCTGTCTGTCTGTGATATGCATTTACCAAGGTGACCTTTGTCCCATGAAATCTACAGTAAAGATCAACCTTAAAAGATTTTTGCTTTTTTAATTATGTTCATTCATGAATTTAATCTGTCACATTCACTTAATAAATCCCATCTCAGAAAGCAAGCAGGACCCAAAAAGGTCCAATCATCGGAAACGTCAACCAGCCCTCATTCGGAGGTTCTTTGGTTTTCCATGTTAACTTTTAATTGTTCTTGTCATTTACTTTAATTTAAAACCAAGTAATCAACTAAATATTCAAAACCAAGTAATCAACTAAATATTCAAAACCAAGTAATTGGATTTGGGCATATCTACAAGCATGCGTTATGGCCATATGACAATGCGTATTGTCGGTTTCTTGGCCATGGAGTTCAAACTAAGGTGCGTTCTTAGCTGCCAAGAAGCAAGCAGAAGCTACCTAAATTTAACTACTCACTAACCCATATTGTCGGTTTCTCTATCCTCTTGTCACTTATCAAAGGAGGAGAGAGATATAAAAAAAAAGGGCAAGCGCAACGGGGTTAGGGAAGTATTTCTGTGGTTAAGAGGGTGAGTGACATCAAAGTCATATGGTAGGGGAATGGCATTCCACTTTGCTCACCATGCACATGCTAGTAAAGGCTATGGTGTACCAACAATGGCTTTTCAGTGCCGAAAAAAGAAGAGGGCAACTACAAATAAAAAGTGGAGGTTTCTTTTTCGCTTTTTATGACATCAGTGTTTGGTTTCAAATTGAACTGAAAAGGATAGATAGAACTCTCTCTCTCTCTCTCTCTCTCTCTCTCTCTCTCTACATATATATATATAATCAGTCAATTATAAACAGGCCTCTCTGGACTCTGGGCTCTACCACTAAATCCTTAGCTTGACTTTCAAGAAAATAATGCAGAGTAGTTATGATTGGATTGGATGTGAAACAACAAGAAATATCAACCAAAGCCAAAGTGTGCTGCTCTGTTTGCATTTAGGCATGTATGGGTTAATGCAGATATATGATATAAATAAATGAAATGAAGGAATTCATTGAGCGATTATAATCATTCAGACTCAGAGACCCAGAGAGAGAGAGAGGACGAAACAATATTCATTTTCCATTCCATTTCCAAACAATGCTTTGAATTTTAACTAGCCCACCCATCGAAAAATTCATGTTCCACCCTTGCTTTGAAGGCTTCTATTCTTCTACTGGTATGGTATGAAACGGAAAATGAAACGACAGTGGAGCTGCTTCTAGACAGGAAACCATGCTATAAAGGCAAAATTGTTGAGCGTTGTTAGTTGTGGCAGACAACGAATCTAACCACCCAACACCCCCCCTCCCCCCCCCCCAAATCATTGTTCAAAAGCCAAATGGATCACAAAAACTTTCGGAAGGCCTCATCACATGGTTTGGGACCCTTCAATGTCAACACACCAAGCGACCTCGTCAGCGATGGCCGGTCCCTAAACTGTTGTCTAATGCATGTGCTGTATTGCTTAACCCTAAAGTCATCACCATGTGAAAACTGGAAAGCTCAAATCGTTATCCTAGCACATATTTACTTGTTGGGATAAATTATCAGGAAAACAAGTGTCAAAACAAGCACAGTCCTTCAATTAGCTAATTTCCCACCGCAAGCATGCAACGTAACTACAATGTTATAACATGATTGTATGATTAACTGTTAATGAACATAACATAAGTGTCATTGGTCATTCAGTCAAAAAATAATGGCACTAGGTGAAGAACCAAAATGCTGTCATATACAACCCAGAGTAGAATAGATACAACTAGTTCAAGTCCCGCACTCCCTCCCTCTCCCT